CCCGGAGTACGACATCTGGACTCAGTTTGTTTCTGCTGATTATACACGAGCTCAAGAGCTCGATGCCTTAGACAACAGTCATCCTATTGAAGTAAGTTCTGTCTTTGCTATCGATTGTCTCTGCCTTTTTCTTGTCATCTGAGCGTTAAGGAAAAAGGGGACTTTACAGTCATTCGCGACGCAAAGGAAAATCTAAGGTTGCATTTGTACTTTGTGGGTTTTCCTCTACTTGAATTGGTATCTCAGAAGTGAGGTTTGAGGGGGTGAAGATCTGGAGTTGTTCTGCTCTGATGGTTTAAATGGCAAAGCTGTGATCAAAACTCATCATGATTTGTGTTTTGGTTTGTTTCTGGTCACAGCGGGCAGTTTTCTGGCCCTTGAGCACAGTGAAGTAGCCCCTGACTTGAAATAAGGAGGCTGGGGCTGGGCTTGCTGCTTTGGAAACCAGGCAGGAGTTTGGGGATGGAGAGGGCAGCAGCAGCAGCTTGTTCCAGCAAAACTGGGAGCTCTGCTAAAAGAAAACTCCCTTGAAATTCCTAGAGATCACCATGGACAAGTTTTCAGACGGCTTAAGAGGTGTTTGGTGTAATAGATGTTGGGAGATGACCTTGCTTTGTACCACAGGTCACTTTAGAGTGAGTGACTCACTGACTGTGTTTCCTGAGTGCACATTGTTCACCGTCCCAGAATTAAACAGCTTCCACTGGTTTTTTTTTTTGTTTTTTTTTTTTTGCTTTTGGGTAAGTGTTGAATGAAAGGATTGAAGCAAGATCCCCAAAGTGATTTGATTAAAAACCAAAACCTCAGTTAAAGTGTGTTTAAGCTATAAACCAATCCTAACCCAGCTGTGTGGGAAGGAGCTCAAATGACTGGGAGCAGAGACAATGCAGGGATGGACCTTCATTTCTCACCTTCAGTCAGAAAACTCTGCTCCTGAAACACTAGAACAAGCGAAATCAAACCCTTTAATGGCAATTCAAATGACTGGGAGCAGAGACAATGCAGGGATGGACCTTCATTTCTCACCTTCAGTCAGAAAAATCTGCTCCTGAAACACTAGAACAAGCAAAATCAACCCTTTAATGGCAGTTAAAACTGTTCTCACTGTCAATTGTCCTGTTTGCCACAGGTTAGTGTTGGCCATCCATCTGAAGTAGATGAAATATTCGATGCTATTTCTTACAGCAAGGGAGCGTCTGTAATCCGAATGCTACACGACTACATTGGTGATGAGGTAAAGACTGGTGTTAAAAAGCCAAATGTGGGCTGTCAAATCTCTTCACAGTTAAAAATGCTGTTTAAAAAAAATATATATAATATTTAAATCTGTGTATTCTATATTTTGAAAACTTTGCTCCAATCTGTATTTGGGATCTATTTGAACTCAACTAAGAGATATAAGATAGCGGGGAAAATGTGGAAGGAGTTACAGATGTACATTCTGATCCTAAGATTCCTTGGCTGATTCTGGGATATAAATACAGAGTGGAGGGAGGAGAGAAAATCCCTCCGTTCTGGTGCCATTACATATTCCATTGTGTGTTCCCAGGACTTCCGGAAAGGAATGAATTTATATTTAACGAAGTTCCAGCAGAAGAACGCCGCTACAGGTAACGGGTGGTTATTGGATGCTTAAGAAAAGTCATTTCTGGAGACACAATTCTTAGTGCTAAAGTGATGAGTTCTTACACAGCTGCTTTTCTTTTTTCCACCCGAGATAACTGAAATGCAAGGAAATAATGGGCTTGTTCCTGGTTTCATGCAACGTGTCCCTGGAGGGCCAGGATTGGGGCTCTCAGGGTTCCCTCTCTCAGCACGTGTGGCTGAGGTGAACCCAAAGGGCTGTGCTTACTGTTGGTGACCACATCTGTGCACTAATCTGATTTAGAGACAGAGTGTGTCGATCTGCTGTGTCAGCCTTTTGCAAGCTTCCCTTGGCAGTATTGATTGCGTGTGTGATTAAACAGTTCAAAGTCTTGTCTAACGGCGCTTTCTTTACTTCAACCTTTTTTTTGTGTGTGTCAGGCCTAAATGTGGAAGTGGAACATCACGCTCTGTCAGCCCAAACAAGTCTGTGTTCGGTCAGCTCTTTTGGCATAATATATGAAAAACTTGAGGAAAAGATTCTTCTTTTTACCATTTTTAAATATTTAATGCTCATTTTTATTCTACTTTATCACGACGTGTGTTGCTTGCGTTGTTTTAGTGGTAAAGCAGCTTTTTTTCTCCCCTTCCTCCCCCATCAGTGGTTTAAACTATTTCCTTTTTCTTGCCTGTTATCTGTTACAATTTGATAAAAACACACCCAAAACATATGAAGGGGGAACTGGAGTAATAATACATCACCCTCTAGTGCCCATATGGTGTCCTTAATAGTGTCTGACATGCCAAGACTCCAGGAATCCTTACTCAGACTTCTCTTCTGCAGAGGACCTCTGGGAAAGCCTGGAAAAAGCCAGTGGGAAACCTATCGCTGCCGTGATGAATACATGGACCAAACAAATGGGATTTCCCCTCATTTATGTGGAGGCTGAACAGGTAAACATAGCCCTGCCTATTAAAAGTTCTGCCATGATGAACGTGCTGGAATGGTTCTTGAGGTAGCTCCTTTTTCTGGAGGAGAACTCAAGTTACTCCAATTAACAGATGGCACATGCGTGCGTTGTGATATACAGAAGATGAGATTAAATGTTCTGATAACTCCTTTCCCTCTCTTTTTCTTTTCTTTTTTTCTTTTCCCCTCAGCAAGAAGATGACAAAGTGTTGAAGTTAGTCCAGAAGAAGTTCTGTGCCAGTGGACCATATACTGGTAAGATGAGTGCTAAGAGCAGGAATGGAGCGTTCGTTGCTTTTCGTGCAGCGATTTTGGGAGATGAAGAGGCCGCGCTGCAGAGCGGGCAGGTGCTCTGCTTGGATTTGGGTGCTAACTTCAGAAAATCTAAGGTTTAAGGCTCTCACGCAGGTAGTTTCTGTGTCCTCCTCCCATGAAGAGCAATCTGCAGTCTTTGCTTCAGTTTTCCTTCTGAGATGCTTCTCTTCTGGTGTCCAGTTTGAGGCCAGCTCTGCCACCTGAGGAGCTCTGCGAGCTACTGGTTTTATAATAGTGCTCATATAAAAATGCCTCCCCTGGAAGCCAGCTCCCCCTTAGAACACAGATTCCACCCATCTTGTGGAAATTAATGTTTGGCTTGAAAGGTGATTTAGAAAATCTTGGGGTTTAGCTCTAGAACTGCCGTTTTCCTTCAGATTTGTGCCTTTTTTTAGGCTTAGATTTGAGTAGCGTTGCTTCAAACGCTGCTGAAACCTGTTTGAACATCAGGCAGAGTTTCTCGGTTGTGTGAATGCTTTTTCTTTTTCCCCTTAGCCTTTCCTTTTTTTTTTGTTTCTTCTTTTAGGGGAGGATTTCCCCATGTGGATGGTCCCCATAAGTATTTGTACAAGCGATGACCCCACCAGTGCCAAAATGCAGATACTGATGGACAAACCAGAGCTCACCTTGGTTTTGAAAGATGTCAAACCAGACCAGTGGGTGAAGGTGAGCTCTCATGAAGGAGGACATATCGCTGGGAATAAGACTGATTATCGCTGTAATGTTCCCTTGCATTTCATTTTCCTCTTCTCTGGGTTTTTTTTTCCCACTTTGCAATCTTGTGTTTCTTATGGAGGGGCCTCTCTCTGCTGCTCCTGAATATTGGCTCCTCTCTATAACGCTTTCTTAGTGTGGTCTTTTGCTGTCCAAGAGCAGTCTAGACAATGTAAACTTGAACCTTTTAAGAGTCCCAGCCCGGAAAAACAGTGTGCAATTAGAGGAGGCTTTTGAGTTGCAATGTGGTGGCTTTTTTGGTATCCCATGGCAACCACTGTTTAGTTAAAAGTCCATCTTGAGCGAAAAATAGCCCTGTTTATCTTTCATTAGTGTGAAGGTTTTCTACTGGCTATTGCCAGACCAGGACAAATTTATGAGTGAAAAAATTCGCAGTTGAGGTCTCCTGCAATCATGACTGGTGCTGTATGAGATGCTGAGGCTGAAGAGTAATTGTAAAGCTGGAGCTGTATTTGGAGAGGTGTCTCTGAAAGAACATTAAGGGTTATTCTCTCTGAATATTACTCAAATTTTTCCACTTAACCAACATGGGCATTGCTGCTCTCAGGCCTGAGCATTCTCTGCAATCACTGTATCTGTCTGGGGCCTCCCTGGTAATAGAGGGGCATGAAATGAACAATTCTGGAAATGCCCTGAAGGTAAAGTTTGGTATTTCAGCCCGAGAAGGCACCAATCCAGCTCAGTCCATGGTGAGTCTGTAGGACTGTTGGCTGCAGGGGTGGTCAGTCTGTGAGGTTTGTAGCACGTGCCGTGGCCCTGAGGACTGGCAATTGGACTGGCCAAAATCAGAGCAGCAGCAAAGGGGGTGACTTCCTGATAAGCTCAGCCGTGGGTTTGGTTTATCTCGGGTACCATTGTTCAAACAACCACAGTATTTGACCATCCACACACTAAAATGCCAGGAGGTAGCAGCATGTAGTGACTGTAGTTCATCAGCCTCACTGACTGCAACTTGCTTTTGCACTGGGCAGAGGTTTTTGCTCCCCTTTCGTAGGAAAATGGTTCTATTGAAACTGAATGGAGCAGGCTGGGGGTGAGAAGTTACAAAAATTAAGATTCCAGCACCTGCAGCCTCCTGCTTTTTATCTTCTCGGTGCAAGACCACCCTTAGTTCAATTAAGATTTACCTCTGGAAGAGAAGTTTCTTGTTTTTCCTTGCTCCTAGTTTTAATTCTAGTCTGTTTCCTTCTCCCATACCTCCTACTGAGCATTTCTTCTTTGAAACCTTTAGTCTTTCTCCCTTACTTAGGGTTTGTTTTTTCTTTTTATTTAAAAGATAGTGACTGACTCCTCTGAGCTGCAATGCTTTGAGGAATTTCTAGCGGTAAAAAAAAAAAAAGCATTTCCTTGTTTGTTCCTTACTTTTATTTATTTATTTTTTTCTTTTACTTTTCAGTTAAACCTTGGAACAGTAGGGTTTTACCGTACCCAGTATAGCCCTGACATGCTGGAGAGTTTGATACCGGCGATCAAAGACCTCTCCCTCCCCCCCGTGGACAGGCTTGGCCTGCAGAACGATCTCTTCTCTCTGGTAAGAAACCCTGAGCTCTTCTGCCCAACGACAAGAGCAACAGTCACTGCAGAAAGGGGTGTCTGCAGAGTCAGTCTGGGTTTCTGGAGGCAAAGTGTCTCTGGGATTACTGCACACATCTAGCTGTTAATTAGCTTGACAAGTTCTAACTTGTATCACACGACTTAAACCCTATGGAAGCAGTCTGTAACTCCTGTTCCACTCTTCTCTGCAGGGGTGTATTATACTATATTTATTTTTTTTTAATACAAAATTGTTTTGAGAACCTGCTTTCTTTTAACTCATCAGAATAAGGTTATTTTAATGAGCCCCTCAATGACTTTATCCGATGCTGTCGGCACCACGTGCTTTATTCACCTGGGCTCGTTCTAACTGTCCTCTGCTGGAGGAGGTGGCTGTTGGGGATTCTCACTGTTTCAAAGCAAAGTGTTGCTCACTCTGAACAATTAATTACCACACTCCGTATTTCGGATTGTACTTTCTTATTCTTGCTAGTCAGCAAGTATGTGGAAACTTTTAAAAACGTGGGTTTGATACCCTCCCTCTCTGGCTTCAAAGCTTGTGACTCTCGTCGTGGCTCAGCTGAAGGGGTGTGAAGCTGTAGCCTGAGTCATTTCCCCAGGATTGCGAGACTAATGGGACATAAAAATGGAGCAAATAACACACGTGGGAACATCGTGTTAGACTCCTATTTTGTTTTCCCTTTTAATCATGTTTTTATCGTAGATGAATATAGCTTAGATAATAAAAATTGATTGTCATCTCTTTTCCTGGTGCCATAAATCACTGGTCTGGTTCCAGGTTAACAAAAATCCGAGGGATGTGGCTGGAGATGGCTGCTGTAGGTTGGAGATGGCTGCTGTAGGTTGGAGATGGCTGCTGTAGGTATCACCAGCTGCATGAAGCTGTGATCAGTTCATGTAACCTGGGAAGTAGTTAATACAAAATTTTCCCAGCAGAGGTGAAAAGGCAGGACTTGTACTGATTCACGGGCAGCAGGAAGCAAAAATGACTTCTGCAGCTTCATACTCCTCAAAATTTTCCCAGCAGAGGTGAAAAGGCAGTGCTTGTACTGATTCAGGGGCAGCAGGAAGCAAAATGACTTCTGCAGTTTCATACTCCTGATTTAACGAAGAGCAAAAATTAAATCTCTAAATCTTCACAGTTTTTAGTTAAAATAAGATTTTTGGTGGGTGTAGTATCTGGCTGAGAATAACTCTGGGGGTTTGCTCTTTCTTGCCAGCGTTGCTGCGATTTTGTGAAGTCACTTTAAATCTCCTGGTCTGTTTCTTGTTTGCGAAATGTGCTTATAATTATATAGCTGTCTCCTGGTAAAGTGCTTACCTGGGTGTAAAACACGTTGTGTGCAGAGAGCAGATGATGAAGGTGCTTGGAGTGGTGTTACCTCACCTTGGCAGAGCCCCTGCTCCAGAGAAAATAGGGTTTATGTGCAGGGCTGTGCAAACTGAGCTGTTAAAATAACGTGATGAGCTCTTTAAATGTCTTAATTCTGTTTGGAAATAAGATTAATCTGTGTCTTTTCCTCTCGCAGGCCCGAGCTGGAATCATTAGCACTGTAGAGGTTCTAAAAGTCATGGAAGCTTTTGTGAATGAGCCCAATTACACGGTGTGGAGCGACCTCAGCTGTAACCTGGGGATCCTCTCGACTCTCTTGTCCCACACAGACTTCTATGAGGAAATCCAGGTGTTCGTGAAAGACGTCTTTTCACCCATAGGGGAGAGACTGGGATGGGACCCCAAACCTGGAGAGGGTAGGAACCTTATCTGTGAAATCCAGTCCTGGTTTTGGAAAACTCACGTGTAAATAAGCCGTCAGGAATTTGGGGAAGGGGAGAGAAGGGAGGAAGAGGAGTCGGAAGTTGGGCGTTCAGGGGTATTGTTATATGTAAAACCAAGCAAACACAAAACCCCAAAGCCACCCTCTGTTGTCAGGCATGAGTTAAAATGGTAAAACTTTTCCCTACGCTGGTCACTGATAGAAATTCTCTGCTTCAGCTTTGCATCTATTGGAGCATGTGAGGCTTTTTAGGCTCGTCCTAGTCAGTCCTGTTTTAGCTGCAAATGGTTAATATTAGCTCAGGATACAGGCCTAGACTGTTGTGTTTGGTCTGGAATCATCTTCTCCTGACACTTTTGCTGTAAAAGAAGAAAACCCCAGTATGTTCTCCAGTTGGCACCAAGGAGAGCAAGAAAAGGCCTAGGTTCTTCAGATCCCTCAGCCATGTGGAAGGATTGTTTTTCAGCTCTGCCCTCATCACTCTAGGTGGAAGAACACTTAATTGCTGAATTGTGTCTCCAAATAATTAATTTTTTTCCTCCTACTCGCCCATTAGGTCATCTAGATGCCCTTCTGAGAGGTCTGGTCTTGGGCAAACTAGGAAAAGCTGGACACAAGGCAACGTTAGAAGAAGCCCGTCGCCGATTTAAGGACCACGTGGAAGGAAAACACATACTGTCAGCAGATCTGAGGAGTCCTGTAGGTTATTGGAAATGCTGGGTCCCAAAAGACTGTCCCCACTCACTTTTGGTGCTGTGTGCTCTGAACTCCTGTGTTTCCAAGAGTAGGGAAGGTGGAGGAGACCAGAGCCAAAGTGTGAGACCAACTGGTTTTGGCAGAGGTGGTTGGGAGCTTGGATAAGTCCAGTTATGAAGGAAATGGTACTGGGAAGTGTGGTACAAACCTCCCTGTGTTTCTTGAATCAATTAATCATCTGTCCTGGCCAATATTTGGTCGTAACTAAGAAGCTCAGCTCTTCCCACGCTGCCTGCCATGGAACAGCCCTGGTCTCCAGATGGTGTTGGGTTTTGGAGAGCATGGTTCAGGTGGATTGAGTTTATGGGACGGGTTTACTGGCCTGGTGTCGAGTGGCACAAAGATTTCTTGTTCTGGCATTTCGCCAAGAGTAGGGAAGGTGGAGGAGACCAGAGCCAAAGTGTGAGACCAACTGGTTTTGGCAGAGGTGGTTGGGAGCTTGGATAAGTCCAGTTATGAAGGAAATGGTACTGGGAAGTGTGGTACAAACCTCCCTGTGTTTCTTGAATCAATTAATCATCTGTCCTGGCCAATATTTGGTCGTAACTAAGAAGCTCAGCTCTTCCCACGCTGCCTGCCATGGAACAGCCCTGGTCTCCAGATGGTGTTGGGTTTTGGAGAGCATGGTTCAGGTGGATTGAGTTTATGGGACGGGTTTACTGGCCTGGTGTCGAGTGGCACAAAGATTTCTTGTTCTGGCATTTCGCTGTGGTTGAAATTAGCAAAATTAGGCTGAAATTGGGGAAGAGGGAAAGGAGTCAACGCATCTTTAAAATCCAACCTTAAAACATAGAAGGGATCAGTGCTGGCATCTTCCAGATCTGTTCACTTGTCTGAAACCTAACCCAAATGCATAGGAATTAATTGTTGCATTTCTAGAAATACGTTTTTTGACAGACACTCCTTGTTTCTGCTCTATTTTAGGTATATGTAACTATTTTGAAGCACGGAGATAGTACTACTTTAGACACTATGCTGAAGGTGAGTGCGGGTTCTGGTAACGCTGCCAATTTACGTGATGAAAAGCTGAATGTTCCACCCCACGAGTTCCTCTGAGATGCAGTTTATCTGCAAAAACCCTCAATCCCACAATTTACAGCTGATGTGAACAGTGGTGAGGCCCCATCTGGAGCACTGGGTCCAGTTCTGGGCTCCCCAGTTCCAGAAGGACAGGGAACTGCTGGAGAGGGGACAGCAGAGGCTACAAAGATGCTGAGGGGCCTGGAGCATCTCTCTGATGAGGAGAGGCTGAGGGACTTGGGGCTTTTTAGTCTGGAGAAGAGAAGGCTGAGGGGGGATCTGATCTGAGCCTATAAATACTTCAAGGGTGGGTGTCAGGAGGATGGGGTCAGGCTTTTTTCAGTGGTGCCCAGGGACAGGACAAGAGGAAATGGGCACAAACTTGAATATAAGAAGTTCCACCTAAACATGAGGAGGAACTTCTTCACTGTGAGGGTGGCAGAGCCCTGGCAGAGGCTGCCCAGGGAGGTGGTGGAGTCTCCTTCTCTGGAGACATTCAAACCCCCCCTGGACGCGTTCCTGTGGGACCTGCTGTGGGTGACCCTGCTGTGGTGGTGGGCTGGACTAGATGATCTCCAGAGGTCCCTTCCAATCCCAAATCATTCTGTGATTCTGTCATTCCGTTAGGGTGTTCCTTGGTCCATGTGTAGAGTGAAATTGCCACCTAGTGGCTTGTTGCACCTCTCATTTTTAGGATTATTTTTCATTGCTTGGAGGCACACGGTCCTACTTGACCTTATATAAACAGTGGTGAAGATCAGTTTATTACTAATTGTACTTTCTGCTGATGGATGTGTAATGAGGTCCGTGATGTGGAGAGCGGCGGGATGATTCATTAACAAGGTCAATTTGTCACATATTAGGCTCCAAGACTAATCCAGCAGCTCCAGTGTGTCGAGCAGCACTAGGTAAGAAGTTGGCATTTAATACCATGCATTAATATCATTCACTTTGGCTTTGCAGCTTCACAAGCAGGCAGACATGCAGGAGGAGAAGAACCGAATTGAACGAGTTCTCGGAGCCATCTCTCAACCAGAACTGATTCAAAAAGTTCTCACCTTTGCACTTTCAGTAAGTTCTTGGGGAAAGCTGCCACTTCCTCACCTGGAGAGAAGTTCAAGTGCCCTCAGAGCACTCAGTGACAGAGCACCCTGTGCATACAGAGCACTAGAATTGGCCTTAATGATTAAATATTTGAGTAGAATCTCAAAGTTGAGGGGAGGGGAAGCTGTTGTTGACAGATCCAGCGTAGAAATGCATAAAGCTGTGTTTGTGGAAAGAGTCTCCAACACTTGTCTGCGTTTTCCTCCCCAGGAAGAGGTACGTCCCCAGGACACGGTATCTGTTATCGGAGGAGTGGCTGGAGGCAGCAAGCAGGGGAGAAAAGCTGCCTGGAAATTTGTAAGGGACAATTGGGAGGAACTTTATAATCGATACCAAGGTGGATTCTTAATATCCAGACTAATAAAGGTACGTGTGGCTGCCAGGGGAGCCCTGTCCATGTGCACGACCAAAACTAAGCTCTTGTATTTCATGTGCCAAATGCTTACTCTCCATTAATGTTTGTTTTTTGTTTTTTTTTTCCCCCTTCAGCTAACAGTGGACGGATTTGCAAATGATAAAATGGCCGCAGAAGTTAAGGTAAGAAATTTTAATTAAAGAAGTTATTGACTTCATCTGTGACAAACACTAGACTGTAGGCACAGTTTTGGTGTGGCTTTATTATTTACTCCTTGCCTGCGCTTTTACAGGGACTCCTCCTTGGAAGAAGAAATTTAGAAATACGGCCCTTAATTATCACTTTCCTGTTAGAAGGAATTCTTGTTTGAAAAACCTGCTGAGCCCTGAGCTCTTATTGTTTTAATCGTCTAGTGATCTCTTCTTAGAGAAGATCTAGTAGCAGAAGTGATTTTTACAGAGAAATCCTGGGCTGTAGTTGTGGGTTTTTTTCTAAAGAACACGTTGCAGAACATTTACAGGAACAATCATCCATCAGTAAATAGTAACTACTTTCCAGGAGAGCTTCCTGGGACAGCAGACCTGGTTTTTAGCTGGAGTATTAGATGTGGCTGAGTCTGGATGTCACCTTGTGGTGTGCATTTGCAGGGGATGATCTGCCAGACCCTGGGAGGAGCTGGTGTGGGGTCAGGAGATGGCTCTGGGCTCAGCCTGGATTATTCTCCCTTGAACCACTCCTAAAGCCCAAAGTCACAGCAGCCCCTGGGGCAGGTTTTCCAGCCTCAGTTGTTCACGGAGTGGAGGGGGATCGATAGCGTTGAATGGGAGAAATAGGAAGAAAATAGGAAAGAAAAAATAGGAAGAAATGGGAGAGTATTCAGCAAGTGCTGCTGGTGCTTGGAGGTCGTTCTGCAGCTTGGAAGGAGGCCCAGGTGGAGCGAGAAGAAATCCAATACCCAGACAAATGCTTTTGCAAAACGGCCTTAGGCTTCTGTCCCGCTCCTCTGAGTGTCAGAAACACACACTTGATTTGCTGCTCGTTTGTTGCCTCCCCCTGAGGGACTGAACTCAGCTCTTGGAGTGTTGCTGTCCCTGGCAGCAAGGAGGGGACAGGACAGGAGGTGGTGTTTGGGGACAGGAGGTGGTGTTTGGGGACAGGAGGTGGTGTTTGGGGACAGGAGGTGGTGTTTGGGGACAGGAGGTGGTGTTTGGGCTGGTTTGTAGAAATCAAAGGGACTCTTTAGGGGAGGGTGTGGAGCAATAGGATGAGGTGGAACGGTTTTAAACGGAAAGAGGGGAATTTAGATTAGATATTAGGAAGAAATTCTTTCCTGTGAGGGTGGTGAGAGCCTGGCCCAGGTTGCCCAGAGAAGCTGTGGCTGCCCCGTCCCTGGAGGGGTTCAAGGCCAGGTTGGAGGGGGTCTGGTGGGAGGTGTCCTTGCTCAGGGCAGGGGGTGGCACCGGGGGGGCTTTAAGGTCCCTTCCAACCCAAACCATTCTATGATTCTATGAAATCACAGAATCCCATGGGGTTGGAAGGGACCTCTGGAGATCATCCTGTCCAACCCCCTGCCAGAGCAGGGCCACCCAGAGCAGGTCCCACAGGAACGTGTCCAGGTGGGGTTTGAATGTCTCCAGAGAAGGAGACTCCACCACCTCCCTGGGCATCCTCTGCCAGGGCTCTGCCACCTTCAAAGTGAAGAAGTTCCTCCTCATGTTTAGGTGGAACTTCCCATGTTCAAGTTTGTGCCCGTTTCCTCTTGTCCTGTCCCTGGGCACCACTGAGAAAAGCCTGGCCCCATCCTCCTGACACCCACCCTTGAAGTATTTATAGGTGTTGATCAGATCCCCCCTCAGCCTTCTCTTCTCCAGACTAAAGAGCTCCAAGTCCCTCAGCCTCTCCTCAGAAGGGAGATGTTCTAGCCTCCTCATCCTCAGACATGCTGCAGTGCCTGTGCTTTAGCATTTTGTTCTCCCCACCCTGTGGTGGGTCCCCAACCCCATGAGGTTGGAATTAAACACTCTGCAAACTTTCTTAGTGTAGTTGGGAGCAAACAGCATGAATTTTTATCAGAGAAGGGGCATAATTCACAGGAGCGTTTCTGTGTAACTTGGGGAAATGGGCGACTTAGAGATATTAATTTTCTCTATGTCTTTTTTTATGTGTTTTTTGTGTGTGTTTGTGGGTTTTTTGTGTGTACAGGCCTTCTTTGAGAGCCACCCAGCCCCGTCGGCGGAGCGCACGGTGCAGCAGTGCTGTGAGAACATCCTGCTCAACGCAGCCTGGCTCAAGCGGGACGCCGACAACATCCACCAATATTTCCTGCAGCGCAAGGCCCCCCCAGCAGGGCAGGGGGTGGCACTGGATGATCTTCAACCATTCTATGATTCTATGAAATTGCAGAATGACATGGGGTTGGAAGGGACCTCTGGAGATCATCCCGTCCCACCCCCTGCCAGAACAGGTCCCACCCAGAGCAGGTCCCACAGGAACGTGTCCAGGGGGGTTTGAATGTCTCCAGAGAAGGAGACTCCACCACCTCCCTGGGCAGCCTCTGCCAGGGCTCTGCCACCCTCACAGTGAAGAAGTTCCTCCTCATGTTTAGGTGGAACTTCTTATATTCAAGTTTGTGCCCATTTCCCCTTGTCCTGTCCCTGGGCACCACTGAGAAAAGCCTGGCCCCATCCTCCTGACACCCACCCTTGAAGTATTTATAGGTGTTGATCAGATCCCCCCTCAGCCTTCTCTTCTCCAGACTAAAGAGCTCCAAGTTCCTCAGCCTCTCCTCAGAAGGGAGATGTTCTAGCCTCCTCATCCTCAGACATGCTGCAGTGCCTGTGCTTTAGCATTTTGTTCTCCCCACCCTGTGGTGGGTCCCCAACCCCATGAGGTTGGAATTAAACACTCTGCAAACTTTCTTAGTGTAGTTGGGAGCAAACAGTGCGAATTTTAGTCAGACAAGGGGCATAATTCACAGGAGCGTTTCTGTGTAACCTGGGGAAATGGGCGACTTAGAGATATTAATTTTCTCTATGTTGTTTTTTATACCCTTTTGTGTGTTTTTGGTGGTTTTTTGTGTGTACAGGCCTTCTTTGAGAGCCACCCAGCCCCGTCGGCGGAGCGCACGGTGCAGCAGTGCTGTGAGAACATCCTGCTCAACGCAGCCTGGCTCAAGCGGGACGCCGACAACATCCACCAATATTTCCTGCAGCGCAAGGCCCCCCCAGCCCTGGTGTGAAAAAAAACAAACCCCCCCAACCCCATCCCACCGCCCCCCAGCATCCCACCGCTGCAGTCCTGCTGCCTCCCCACGGGGAGAGGGAGGAGAGAACCCAACAGCCCATTCATAATGCCAAGAATTTGGAGTCTTTTTTTTTCTCAAGCCGATGGGGATTGGACAATGAATGTAGTTAACTGGTTCCTGCTCACACTCCAGATTGAAAATTCTATTAAAATTATCAGCAATTCAGCAAAAAAAAAAGAAAATAAAAAGAGAGAGAGAGAGAAAAAAAAAAAATCTGTAAATATGATAGTAATAAAATAGAGCATAACAAAACTGTGAAACTTCCTCAAGCCTTGTCAGTGGTTAAAATATTTAACACCCCCCTCCTCCTGACACTCTTATTGACAGATGTTCTGTTTTTTACACCCTCCCCTGCCCGCCACCCCCCAAAAAAAAAAGATTAAAAAAGAGGAAAGTGGTGGTTTCTAGGTCAGTGGAATTTTGTGGAGGTTTTGGGGCAGGAATGGGTTCGTGCCTCTGGAAGAGGGCACGGGGAAAGGCAGGTTGGTTGGTGAAACATAAGAGTCTGCATCATTCAAAGTGCGAGGTTTTGGGGAAGATGTTCCTACAAACACCCCACCCCCCACCACCCCTCGATCCAAGGAATAGTAGATTCCCCTCCCTTTTGTGTTACCTCTCGGCGAAAATAAGAAAAAAAAAAAAAGACAAAATGTTCTGTTGCTCTTCGGTTTTTCTCCTTGGTTCCACTCGCTGATGTCCTTCTTGGAGATGATGGGATGTGTATGGAAACATCTTTACAGCCACATTAAATAAGAGAGAGAGAGAGAGAGTCATGCGATTTATTACTTATTTTTTTTTTTT